TGCAATGCTGTTAGCATCTGGACCGCTGCTATGTGAAGGCCCTACTTCCTCAGAGTGGTATGCCTTGTCCAGATGTTGCTGTGCCATTTTCAGGTGTCTCCGTAGACGGTCTAGATCACGACTAGTGTTGTCATCACCCAGTGACTCCCGTCCTGAGTCTCCCAGGAACTCAGCCTTAAGCTTACCAGATGAGTCCTTTTTCAGGGCAGCCTGATATCCCGGTGGGGCATTGGCAAGGCGATGACAGATGGTGGATGTTGATGGCCTATGTACGGGAAACCTCCGTGTTGATCGACTGCGGAGACCGTCCCTTATGCCACCAATTCCCAGATGAAGGATTTCCAGCACAGTCAGCACAAGGCAAAGTATACTGACAACATACATGATGATCAGGAAGATTGTCTTTTCAGTGGGACGTGAGACAAAGCAGTCCACCGTGTGTGGGCAAGGGCTCCGAGTGCAAATGTATGATGGTGCAACTTCAAAACCATACAGAACATACTGGCCAAAAAGGAAGGCTATCTCAAAGGCAACACGAGAGACTAATTGTAACACATATACTTTCATAAGACCGTCTCTCTTGATGCGACGGCGGCCATCATGCTTCGTAGCTGGAATGTCAGATTCAGCAGCAGACTTGGCTGTAGATACCACTTTACTATCCTTCTCAGATGGCTCAATCTCCTCCATGATCATGGGAACTTCCTCACCCATCTGGTCAGCCTCGTCATAGTCATGGCTCACTCCACGATGAACCATAGACAGCAGTTTGCGTTTATGTGGTCGGTATTCGTCATCAGCTATGCGAGCAATTTTGTGCATGGCAAAGCCGAGGTACATAATGGATGGTGTGGTGATCATAATAATTTGAAAAACCCAGAATCGAACGTGTGATAGAGGGGCAAAAGCATCATAGCATACATTATCACAACCGGGCTGTAAAGTGTTGCACACAAACTTGCTCTGTTCATCATGATAGATGGTCTCACCGCCCACCACTGTCAAGACAATTCGGAAGATGATGAGGAGAGTGAGCCAGATCTTTCCCACAAAAGTGGAATGGTTGGAGATCTCGTCAAGCAAACGCGTCAAGAAGGTCCAACTCATGTTGCCACCAACACAGGAGACCTGTCAGATCTGCAGAAGATAGGAGGAGGTAGTAGAATCATAGAGGCATTTAAATTGGGACAACCATTACAGTAAATGGCCTCAGTTGTGGCTAACAGAAGTATCAGAAACAATGTTTTGCAGATGACATGAAATAAAAGTCCAGCACAATATGGTGAACATGTTTGAGTAAAAAAAAAAAAAAAAGAGAATGAATGCAATAACCAATGCATGTTATTAATTGCATGTGTTTAACACTGTAACACATTACATTATTGGACATAATGAAGTGCTTCATTTGTTGATGAAATACTAGTCACAGCACCAGCAGATGTCAGTGTTCAATACATATGCATGCATACGTTTGTATGACTATCTTTGAGAGGACAATCATTGATATAATGCAATCCCTAGCCCCTAACCCTAACTTATTCTTAATAAAATTAAAGGCCAAAAGGTCATCACTTTACTCTGTCCTCACTAGGATGGTCTAAAAGACAAACTGATCCTCACAAAGAAAACTATACAAGTTCACACACTCACACACTCTTAATGGGTTCATGTTCAGCCTAAGGGAAATACAGCAGTCAACATTTGAAGTGGATCAAAACCTTTCATCCAAGTTATACATGAATTTTGAACAATACCTGTTCTTGCCTTAGGACAACTTTGATTCAATTTTTTGATTCACTTAAAAAAAAAAAAGTAGTTTAAAACACATCAAGGTCTTATAATAGCACTACATTTTCAAAACTTTTCTGAATATAAATAATGACTCTAAAAATGTCAGGTGGTGTAACCACGTAAAATGCTCACATTAGCAGCATTTGGAGTTACAGATAAAGATAGATTATTATGAATATAGAACTTTGTCTGAGTGAAACAAGAGCACTGTTGCAAAAAATCGACCTCTGTCCGGTGTCAAGTTTATACATATTCAGTGCACATATATTAATACGAACATCATTTCTAAAAAAAAAACACACATTTGTGCATTTTTTTTTCTATAAAAAGGATTACAAATACACTAGCCAGAAAATTTGATTGTGAATAAATATTTTAATGAAAAAAATAAATAATTCAAGGCTAACTCATAAAAGCTATTAATGGCCTGCAGTGTTTTTGCTCTGTCACATACAGTACAATCAGGAGAAGATAAGATGTAATAATAAAAGACATTTCTTAAAAAATATACAGGTAAAAATATAAGATTTTATTTAACTTAATTTAACTGCCAACAGACTGCATTTCAGGAACAGACTGAATAACTTGTGAGTCTAAGGTTTCTCACCGTATTTTAATAACACGCAGCTTGATGTACATAAACATTACATACGTTTCACAGCATTACAAGTGAGCCACAGGTTAAGATTTTACATATGATAATAACTGAATATGAAATATACCAATATAACAATAATATATATATATAAAAAAGACAGTATTCCAAACATGAGAAAACCATTAAATTCATGTTTGTCATGTCCTGTAAATGTAAATGGACTGAATAGCTTCTCTTGCCTGCCAACATCAGCGACCTCACCCTATTGGAGCTTCAAAGCAAAGGACAAGTCATGGCAGGTCATTATCTGACATAAAGAACCAAGACTGAGGTTCTGTGGTCAAGAGATAGCTAAAGAATGTGTTGTGAAAAGTTATGTACTAAGACAATTCCCATTTTAAATCCACTTGTCTTTAGTGAAGTCACTGAGTGTCGCTGATGTAGAGGCGTGTTGGCATAATACAATAATGATTCAGTTTTTCTGTAGACTTGTGACACAGATAGGCCATTAAAAAAACAGCAGCTACTTTGCTGCAGTAATCTCATAACTGACTATCACTCATCATCACAGTCTTTTCAGAAAAGACTATCATAACATTCCCAAAAATATAAAGACTTTAATCTCAGCTGAGGTAGATGTCTGACTATTCTAACTTGAGGTAAAAGGTGTGAATTAATAAAACCTTTAGAGTACTGACACTACTCTAACACATGTGCAAGTGTGACTGTGTGTGTTTGTGCGGATGGAATCATTAATTTAAACTCCGTTACACAAGCATATTGGAAAACACTTACAAAATGTATTAAAAAGTGACAAGTAATAGCCTATTGCATGGTAACTTAATTTCTAAAGGAGGCTAAAATTATAACATTACGTATAAGCAATATTCAGATACAGACCAGATGTATAAAAAATGCAAAAATTATAGCTAATTAATAAAAACGTCAATAAAAGCCACACGTTCATTAGGCTACAATGAAATACGTTACTAGTAAATAATGTAACTACAAATTATTGTAGCCTATAATAATACACGTTATCGTTTGTTGGAGTTTACCTAGCCATGCATTCAGAACATAGTTCATGTCTAAACTACAATAATGTCATTATTAATATAATAAACACTCGAGTCATTACATTTGCTGCTTCATGTGCCAATGGTTATACTAAAAAAAAAATTCCACAATCGGGATTTACCACGTATAATCAACCTGAGATGGTCAAACTTTCTTTTAAGTTTTAAACGCGGCAAACTTTGTATCAATGGAATGAAATCCGCAGCTCCATTAAACTGTAAACAAGGTAAGAAACAACAAAAACATTCTCATACCTTCGACTATCAAGTGATTAGTAGGCTATCCTCTCCTCAGCTGTTGGACAATGCTTGTGCGTTTAACCATAACCCGACACAGCGTGACACTCGTCTCTCAATTAACTTCCACCCACTTTTTTCACGTTAACCCAAACACTGTTTGGAACTCAACCCACACCACGTGAACATCCATCCAAAGCAGGTTTCACCTCTGACTACACCCACACTTAGGTCTTTAAATCTGAAACCTGAGCTCATTTGATTCCCGACAAAATCCCATCCAGTCTCCACTGTAAAAATAATAATTATAATAACATACAATTCGTAAGGATTAAAAATGCATTGTTTGAGGAAAATTAACTGAATTGACCACATGGAAGTTGAATTGAAATTAGAGAAAGGGGAATTTATTAACTTGCTATAGCCTATACAATTTCAACAAAGGTAATAAAGTGTTCTCACTATAAAATAAAGTTATTTAAAATAATTAAATGTAAAATAGTACATAATAAATAAATTATGTAGCATCGTGTCTTTCATGTGACCATTTGCCTTTGTCTCTCTGTCTATAACCTGAAAAGTTTGTCTTGATGAACATTCTTTTTCTAGTTAAAATTATACGTTTAATTCTACTTCATTTAATTCAAATTCACAATGCAATTCTGTATCTTGTTTGTTACCTCAATTCAAATTTCAGAATTTCACTGGAATTTAAAAGGCATTCTCATTTAGGGCACACAACCTTATCATATATCAGCATCCAAAAAAGCAATACCAAAATATAATTGCCAGATGTAACTTACATAGTAATAGATGTAATATATTTTTGTCCCTTTCATTTCACCTAAATACATTATTTCAAAAGACGCAGGTAGAGGCATTCCTTTTCCTGCAAATGTAGTACATCACAAACAATTGCTTAACATTAAGCACACGGGCTTGACATGCCTATGCAAGATTTACACCAGATGTTTGCATGTTCTTATATGAACCAGAGAACACTCAATTATTTCTGTGCAGCCGTTTCTACATAAAATATGTCTGCTGAATGAAAAAAATTAAACTTTTGTCATAAAGGACTGAAAAGAGGTGCAAGGGAGTGCAAGAATTACTGTATAACTAATTTGTGTGTCATAACATAAAATACTTACTGTACCTATATACCTATATTATAAAATATGTCACAGCATACAATACTTGATACTCATACAATACAAAATTATTACCAACTTACGTGCAACAATCAATTTTCGTATCCTTATTTCTCTGCCATTGATAGGACATAATGAAAAGATGTATAAGATTTGAATACTTTATTATGTTTACAAAAATAAAAGTTATCATGTTTCCTTATTGGAGACCAGTACAAAGATAAATAAATACACATTAAATACATTTTAAATTGACTGACAATATGCTTTCAACTTTGTTAACAACAATGTGCCATTTCACTATTATTTTAGACCAATTACAAAGAAATAAAAGTGCAGAACATCTGAATGACACAAATGACATGGTACAAAACTGCATGTGGTTATATTAAATATTCTCTTCAGGCTCTTCACAGCCATTTGAGGTTTCCTTTCCCGTGACCATTACGTTTTAAAGTGTAGTCACTAGCTCTCTTTTTACATGCTCTATAGAAGTGCTGGAATAGAATATTTTGTAACTTGGCAGGAACAAAAACAATTGTTAAACTTTACATTTATGAGATACATGTATGCCGGTTTCCTTAAACAAATCATGACAAAAAATACTGCAAGTGCTTGATCACAGAAAATGAATGTGTACACATTTACAGTTGAGAAACTTCTTCAACAGAATGTTTCAAAGAGTAAGATGGTATTTAGTTCAGCAACATGTCTTAACAACTAGCATTGCATTAACACCACCAACACACAAGTAAAGCTGTTATTATCCTGTGACATGCATAACCAAATTATGAACCTTTCTGAGAGCACAAAGAAAGGCTTTTCACCCTGAGAAACAAATACCCCTTCAATTCCATATTCGAACCATCTACAAAATTCAAAATAAATCAACTTAATGCATGCATAGTTATGTATTATAAGGTGTGTTGGTGCTTTGCTGTACAAAGTCAAAAAGACACTCAGAATTGCAGCATTGCTACTGCACAATTTGCACAAAGACATTAGCACAACCAAGAGCAGGTAAAAAGGGAATTTGTGAGGGTAATTTGGAGACAAAAAGACAAACAGCCCACATTTACACAAAGACAGTAATACAGATTAAAAGCAGGCAGATTGAGGCAGGAATCTTCATTTTGTAAGGTGTGTGCTTTTCTTTAACACTGTGGCTAGAGGTCACTGCTTGATAGTAGCCAGTTTGACGCCAAACATTTTTTCCCACTGATTTGTGATCCAGTCCACCAGGTCTTGTACCAGCTCTTCATCTTCAGCATGTAAAGACCATGTCTTTTCTTTCTTGGTCATCTGTAAAAAAAAAAAAAAAAAAAAAAAAACAAGCAACAAAAACCTCCATTTATTCTATCCATATAGTAGCCATATTGTTTAAGGGTTTCATACTTTAGAGAATTGCTTTTAAGTTCTCTGTGGTTTAAGTGAGAACATGTAAAGATGCGCGCGCGCACACACACACCTCATCATAAAGTTTTAGGTCCACCTGGCATGGATTGGATGAGAACAGATAAATGGAGCTGAGGCAACTGATTGGCTGAGTTTCCTGAACGGTCACCTTCCCACTGCTCATTTGGCCCTCAGGTTGACTCTTGCTCCATTGGTGGTCTTCATCAAGGAGAAAAAGCATTTCTTTGGTGGCAAGTACACTCACAGAGTCCAAAGAGCCATCTAAAAAAACAGAAAGACCAAACTTGTAAAATATTTTTTTAGTAGGTACCTGCCTTTGTTGTTTTAAATCGTTGAAAATAACTGATGTAAAAGTAAAACAAATAACATTACAAAAGTTAGGCAACAATGAATGAATGAATGAGTGAATGAGTGAATGAGGCATTTAAATAGTGCTTTTCATATGTACTAATGTACACCCAAAGCGCTTTACAATCATGTCTGGGTCTCTCCTCAACCACCACCAGTGGACAATGACATTTAGCAAAAAGATCGTTGGATATCTTACCTTTCGAGCCAGAAAAAAAAGTAAAAAAAAGAGTAAACTTTGGATCGCTTCTAAATCTTGTATAGTCTCTTAGTTGTTGCTAGGGATGAAATGATTAGTTGACATTATCAACAATGTCCCACAAAAAAAAAAAAAAAAATTCGAATCTCTTAGACTTATTGTACACGCCTGCAATAACGCAGTTTGACCAGTGTGGCAGCGCAATACTGTAATGCAGTTACAGCTTAAAAATGCTGACCAAGGTAGGAAGGCATCAAGGCATATCTGAATCCAATGTTACCTTCACTTCTTGTCTGCTGAGATACCTTTATCTGATAAATTTTGCCTTTGATATCCAACAATCCTGTGCGTTTCATTCTGTGACAGTTAAACTAAAAAATAAAGATGGTGTCAGAGTTGGCTTTAGTTGTCAGTTTTTGAACATCTGATTTTGACCAACGTTTGACACTTTCTAGCCAGAAATGACTATTGTGTTAATTAAATATTCACTTAGTTAATCAGCCACGAATCAGTGTATCATTTGTTCATTTTTTTTTTTTTATATGGAAAGTAGAAAAATGAGAAAATGAAAAATTCTTTCAGAAAAACAAACAAAAAAATTTAATTCAGCTTGATTTTTCGTTTTACATTCAGGGGTAGAAAATGAATAAACAGCTTGAATATTTGATCTCTAGTTGTGGTTGGGAATGAAACGCCCCTTTCCACTGATTGGTCAGCCAAAGATCAAACCTTGCTATCATCAACAGAACAATAATCATCTGCTGCAACAGTTGTATGGATTCTTAAAGCGTTTATTGAACTACATATAATAAATCAAGATTATTATCTTTTTAAATTATTAAATTAGTAGTACAATACTAATAGAAAAATTGACTTGGGTATATTATATGCCTAAAATTTTGTGTCCTAAAGTTCATGCAAGAATTGCCATTCTGACAATCATACATGCACACTCTTCTGAGGTTTATACTGTAGGTCTTGTGTAAAAAATTTTAGCGAACATCCCGATGCCGCCCACGCTGTTGGGAGTGGTGTTTAGATGAATGTTCTGCGTGCTTTCCTCTCAATAACAAAATAAACACAACAAAAATGACAACGAGAAAATGCCAGTTAATAAAGAAATCTTTGCATGAGCTCTGCAATTTGGCACTCAAGTCAAGTCATTTGACGTTTATTTATATAGCACTTTATACAAGCTTTAAAGCAAGCAGCTGTACAGCCTTAAACATTAAAAAAATAAAACAGTGTCAGTGTCTCTTTCAAGTCAGAATTACAACTTCAGTTTCTACTTTAAAGCAGGTCTCAGGTGTTTTCAGGTTTTTAAGTGCGTACGTCTGACCGTGACTGACCAAACAAACTTTGTTTTGGCCTAATTTTGTTTGAAATGATGTTCGAGATTTCGTTTGAAGTATATCAGGGCCTTATCACGTGGCACTGTAATAGCTGGACCTTCTTCTCTTTTTTCACGGATGTAACGTAACCAAGCAATGACGAATGACGTGAAACTGACATTTCCTGACAGCTCAAATAATAAATCATTATTATAACAAAGCTCACCATTGTGAATCAGGGTAATGCAAGAGTTGTGTCCCAAATTACGCACTATACACTATGCACTTTTACTCTGCCCCATGTACTCAACCATATAGCGTATGAATTTTATAAGGTTATTTTGTCATTCCTGCCCATCCGCTATGTAATTAAAGCTGTAACATTTGAGTGCATGTGTTGTCCAATATAGTTTTTTTCCGGTTAATTAAGTGCATCATCTGGGTATTTAAAGAGCACCTTTTTTTGTGGCAATTTTAGTGTGAACACACTACTCACACTATACTACTAAATGACATAGAATTGTGCACAAGTACACAAATTGGTACTAAGGAGACAGTTTTTAACACTTTTTTTTTGTATTTGCTCAGTTCCATGAATTTTTGATTTTGAAAGAACTATAACGGTCAATTCCGTTCACTGACCACCTACAGAGATAAAACAAGAATATATCTTGCAGGGAAGGAAACAAAAAGTCTGTTTATGATATCAGCTGTACTTTGTTTTTATTCATTAAAATGTTCTGTGTATGTTAGTGTTAATGAGCATTTTGGCATGTGCACACAACTGAAATCACAAATGACTATGTGAAACAATCTGTGCGTTGGAGAAAAAGAGGGCATGAGTGATGTTCCTTTATGTTCCTGTCTTTTTAAAATCACTGTCAGATTGTTGGGTGGGTTTGGTCACACCAGCTGAATGCTTATCACACCACAAGTCAAGCCTGCTGCGAGCCCTTCCGATAGGGGGGTTCTGGAGGAGAGTCAGGCTGCCAGCAGGGGGCTGGGGCTCTTGAAAGCTGAACCAGCCGCTCACAGTTGGATCACTCTCTCAAGAAGAATGAGATAAATCTGTTTTCTGTGACTCTCCCCTTTTCCATCAAGACCTCAGAGTTTAGTTCCAAGGATAACAGCAGGACCCTAACAAAAGCAAGTGCTGATACAAATACCTTTGTGTCCTAGTGTTAACCTGGGCAGCACTATTTCCCACAGTGATCTGATGAAATCACAGTGTACTATGAATCATTAACTGTAACTGTCATGTGTGAATCACATCTTAAATGGAACTGAAGGGGCATGTGAAACAAACAGACCATGCATTCCCTGAAGGTGAACATCACACCCATCTCAAGCTTTATTTAGTCTAATAATCTCTAATTATGTATTAATGTATTAGATATAAATCATTCTTTGAGTCTACAACTCAAACAACGTTGTCGTGCAAATGAACGGCCAGAACACATTCAAAGTTTTCTGTTTTCAGTTAAAACGGTGTCGTGTAAGCGGCTCCTAAGTTAGTAAATAATGATCATTGCAACGGAAGTGAATCAATCAAAAACTAACTTTAGCTGGACAATAACTTTATTCTAGAGCTGCTGTAAAGCCAAAACAATCTCTGTTACTTTAATTTCCTATTATCACTGTAAAGCTGCTTTGAAACAATCTTTATTGTTAAAAGCGCTATATAAATGAAGGTGACTTGACTTGACAACTGCATGTTCAGCTACCCTGACCATTTGTAGCTCTTCCCTGTTACGGGCAAGTCATCACATGCCGTAGTCACCATATAATTCCTTATCTCATTCCTCGTACTGTTCTTGTTGCTGGCTCTAGCAACAAAAACATTTTGGGTGAAGCAGGTAAAAGCTTGCATTTCTCTATCTTGGACAACATAAACACTCACCTTGCTGAAGAAATGCCAAGAGGTACCGGAAAGGAGGATGGCTGTCTTCTACATCACATGGCAGGGCGTCCTCACAGACTAGATGCCTAAAGGACAGACAAATCAGGATTTAAAATATGTTAACAAATGTTTAATGGGATAATATGCATACCTTGTGGCAATTAACAATAACTTTTTTTTCAACCATGTGCAATTGAGAGGACAATCTTCTTGATTGCCATTGTGCATTAATGCTGGGCTTTGGGTAGGATAGGCAGACAAAAAAAATTTAACGCCTGAGGCAGAGATAAAAAGAGAAGGAGTTGGAGAGCAAAAAATGCCTGCCTGTTTGCACTGCATACCAGAGGTGGTGCTGTGGGTTGAGCCGGGTGGTAGAGATTCCCTTCAGCTTGCTGTCGGACTTTGGGGCCAATTCCCTTGCAATTTCTGCATGAAAAAAGTGCAGTAGTTAGGAAGAATATCTGCAAAATTTCTTCACACACTCTAAACTCAAAATGAATGAGTCAGTGTTTAAAATAGCTTTATCACATCATGTTCACATAATTGCTTAATTAAATTTAATTAAATAATTTAGTATAATTAAATACTTCATCGTATAATAGGTTGAACGCACTTTGAAATCAAAAGTGAGGCACATGTGAAAAAAAATAGTGTCAGTAAACCAACTTCATGGTACAATAAAGCTGCAAGCAGAAATTATAGGAGCACCAACATTTTGATTGAAGAAAAAAAAAGACTGAAAATATAATTTGTTTGATGATTTTAGTCAAAGTCGTTTAAAGGCCTTAAAAAGAATGAATTACTTACTTACCAACTGCTTATACTGTAACTTTTGACCAACAATACAAAGAGTGCTGATACAAAATTGATACTGTAAGGGCATAATATATACATATACACTCACCTAAAGGATTATTAGGAACACCATACTAATACTGTGTTTGACCCCCTTTCGCCTTCAGAACTGCCTTAATTCTACGTGGCATTGATTCAACAAGGTGCTGAAAGCATTCTTTAGAAATGTTGGGCCATATTGATAGGATAGCATCTTGCAGTTGATGGAGATTTGTGGGATGCACATCCAGGGCACGAAGCTCCCGTTCCACCACATCCCAAAGATGCTCTATTGGGTTGAGATCTGGTGACTGTGGGGGCCATTTTATTACAGAGAACTCATTGTCATGTTCAAGAAACCAATTTGAAATGTTTCGAGCTTTGTGACATGGTGCATTATCCTGCTGGAAGTAGCCATCAGAGCATGGGTACATGGTGGCCATAAAGGGATGGACATGGTCAGAAACAATGCTCAGGTAGGCTGTGGCATTTAAACAATGCCCAATTGGCACTAAGGGGCCTAAAGTGTGCCAAGAAAACATCCCCCACACCATTACACCACCACCACCAGCCTGCGCAGTGGTAACAAGGCATGATGGATCCATGTTCTCATTCTTTTTACGCCAAATTCTGACTCAACCATCTGAATGTCTCAACAGAAATCGAGACTCATCAGACCAGGCAACATTTTTCCAGTCTTCAACTGTCCAATTTTGGTGAGCTCTTGCAAATTGTAGCCTCTTTTTCCTATTTGTAGTGGAGATGAGTGGTACCCGGTGGGGTCTTCTGCTGTTGTAGCCCATCCGCCTCAAGGTTGTGCGTGTTGTGGCTTCACAAATGCTTTGCTGCATACCTCGGTTGTGACGAGTGGTTATTTCAATCAAAGTTGCTCTTCTATCAGCTTGAATCAGTCGGCCCATTCTCCTCTGACCTCTAGCATTAACAAGGCATTTTTGCCCACAAGAGTGCCGCATACTGGATGTTTTTCCCTTTTCACACCATTCTTTGTAAACCCTAGAAATGGTTGTGCGTGAAAATCCCAGTAACTGAGCAGATTGTGAAATACTCAGAGCGGCCCGTCTGGCACCAACAACCATGCCACGCTCAAAATTGCTTAAATCACCTTTCTTTCCCATTCTGACATTCAGTTTGGAGTTCAGGAGATTGTCTTGACCAGGACCACACCCCTAAATGCATTGAAGCAACTGCCATGTGATTGGTTGATTAGATAATTGCATTAATGAGAAATTGAATAGGTGTTCCTAATAATCATTTAGGTGAGTGTATATATATATACAGTATATATTAGGGGTGTAACGGTTCACAAAATTCACGGTTCGGTTCGATACGATACACTTGTGTCACGGTTCGGTTCGGTACGATTCGGTACGTTTCCGATACAGCAAAAAGAAAGAAATGCCAGAGAAATTTCCTTGATTTAATCTTTTTAATTATATTTTTATTAAAACTAACATCATAAAGTATGATATTTTTTAACTTTGAGCAATGATGGAGCTATACTTGACTTTTCTTAGGAGCTTATAAAACAAAACAGCTCCTTGGACAAAATTAAATGTAATATTGTAGTAGTTATAAACAAAGGTTTATTTTAGTTCAGATTAACATTTGAGGGCAGCAATTGTATTCATAATGTCAAAATAAAACCGACGTGATGTTACTTGAAAGCATTATAGCCTACTATTCCTGCCAAACTTCCATGGTTACAGTTAGTAGTGTTACTACAGTAAACCCATGGTGAATGTTGCTGATCTGTGGACACTGGATAGTTCATTCATGGCACAATGTTTCTTCCTGGTTTCCACGTCAGCGCTGTTTGATCCGTTAATAACGGAGAAATGCGAATGTTTCTCACTAGATCTTGCAGCGATGTTATTACTTCAGTGGCGAATTCAAATGCTTTCTTTACTGGATTTGGCTGTGTAGTAGGCCTAACAGTGCTGATGATTAAGATCGGCTCGCGCTGTATTTGTCCAAACTGATAAACGGTCCTTCAACCACACAATAACGAGTGGTTTCGTTCCGCTTACATTACATTTGCCATTTGATGTTGGGCAATGTTGTGGTCACGCACATTATGAGCGCGCTTGCCACGCGTGACGCGCCTTCATTTGAAATAACGAAATTTTGGTCGGCAGGAAAAATGGTCCAACGAACCGTTCGGTTCAAAAATGCGTACCGAAAACCGAACCGAAAGCCTCGTACCGAACGGTTCAATACGAATACGTGTATCGTTACACCCCTAGTATATATATATATATATATATATATATATATATATATATATATATATATATATATATAAATAAAATCATGCAATGTTTTTCAACTTTTATTTAATATTTCAGCCCAGACTCCAGAGTTGTAATAATTTTTCACAACATCTTGTGTTGAGGATGGGAGAGGTGAAAGACAGCGTAAAGTCTTCTCCAGCACATCCCAAATATTCTCAATGGGGTTAAGATCGGGACTCTGTGGTGACCATAGATGGGAAAGCCTAGTCATTCAGTATATTCAGGTAGTCAGCTGACCTAAAGAACTCATTTTGTTGCTGAACCTAGGCCTGACCAAGTGAAGCAACCCCACCCAGACCATAACACTGCCTCCACAAACTTGTACAGTAGGGATTATGCATCGCTTCATGTGCTCCCTTCTTACCCTGATGTGCCCATCACTCTGGAACAGGGTAAATCTGGACTCATCAGACCACATGACCTTTTAGCATTGCTCCAGAGCCCAATCTGTTTCCTTGCAAACTGAACCCTTTTTTACGATCAGCAAACAAGTGGCTTTCTTAAGGCCACACAGCTGTTCATTCCCAATCTCTTGAGCTCTCGTTTCATAGTGCGTGTGGAAATGCTCTTACTTTCACCATTAGATTGCTGTGAGTTCTACTGTCGATTTTCTACGATTCGACTCAACCAAACGTTTAAGTGATCTCCGATCATGGCCATTCAAGATTGTTTTCCGACCACATTTTTCTTCGCTGTGATGATGGTTCATCACTATCCTTCCAAGTTTTAATAATGCGCTTGACAGCTTTTAGTCCAATTTTAGTAATTTCAGCAATCTCCTTAGTTGTATTCTTTGCTTGTTGCAGGCCTATAATTTGACCCTTCTGAAACGCAGATGGGATGTGTCTTCCGACAAGATTGTTTAGGAATTGAGAAGGTACCTACTGCATCAGTTAAGATTAAATAACATTGCCAGCTGAGACGTATTAATCACTGCAGGAATTATTCAATCAGAGGCTCTTGCCTATTTGCTCATTTAAATGCAGGTGCTGACTTTTTTTTTGGCAGGGCAGTGGATATTAGGCCTGGGAAAAATATATAAATGATGTGATTAATGTTTGCTGTTTAACACATTAAAATTAATGAATGCATCTCCTGAAGTAACTATGTGAATGTCTTTTCTCCACATCCTTTGGCCAGTGTTACAGTATACATTATATTTACGCAATCTGTGCACCGCTCACTAGCTCTGTGAAGCGGAGGCCCTGCTTGCAGTACTGATGTTGTACAGGGGAACTGATCCTCACATAAAAATATTAATATCAAATCTTTGTAATTGTATTAATTATTTGCTTAATGTGCAAAATAAGTTTTAAAGAGGGGAAAAAACTGACAGCTCTCACACAAACAGAGTATTGACCGACAGAAACTTCACCAAACACACTACATAAAAGGCACAGCTAAACGTGACATTTATTATAATGGGTTTATGTGAATATTGTTTTACATTCATTTAAATTAAAAGTTATTTTGTGATTCCGATTAGGCCGGGAATTCAATTATACTGTAATGTTCAATAGCTATAATTACTAATTGTTTTGCTATCAATTTAATAAAGGCATCAATATCGGAATGGATGATACTGACCTTCATAAATAGTGCTTAGTTAAAATAAACCATTAAACAAATGTTTAAAATGTCAAATAATTAAAATACTGTCATTATGTTGTTTGCACATTCATTTTAAGCTTCAACTGAAAATATATTTATGATTACAAATTGTAATTAAAGGTGTGATTAATTGTGATTATGTTAGTTCTTATGACGTCTTATGTAGTTCATACAGTATGTATGTTCCTACCATCCCCCTTTTCTGTTTTCTTACAGCTTTTATTTTTGAATAGTTGTGGAGTTAATAAACAGTGGATTTTACAAGGTGATGGTGTGTTACATGAGTGGAGGCAAACATGGAAACATGTTGTTGGAAAGGTTGACTGCCTGATAACTGCTGGATGCCTCAGGAATTGTAGAGAGGGCAGGGATGTCAGCTTATTCTCAGCTTAAATCAAGTCCTCCTTCAGATAACACTTATTTAATTTGGATAGCTTTAGACTAAAGAAACCAGTTACAGGCCACAACAGCTATTCTAAGGGGCTGCATACGAAAACCGTGTTTTTGAATTCACTGCAATAAACTCAAGTTAAAAGTTGTTCTACTTTTAAAAACTACGTCTTTAGACCTCATGTTTTTAACCACAAACCGCATTCTGTGTGAATGGCCCCTATACTGTACATAAAATAAATTGATTTCTCCAAAGGTTGTCTTTGGACTTTTTTTCAC